AGTTTGAGTTCAGCAGTCTATGGGATGGCTGTTACAAGCACCTTGCTTGTATAACTGAAGGAAAATGAAAATAATAAGAGCAACTTGCTGTAATCTGTGGATGGTTGTAGTTTGATTGTCAACGTGAAGTAACATAGGTCAGGATTTCAGTATTGGTAAAGTGTTTGATGCAGTGGACTATTGGTACTTTGGATTATTAATGTAGACTATAGATGCTGGAATTGAAGACTATTATTTGTGCTGATAGTTGTGGTATGAGGCGTCGGAGGTGAAATGAGAGGCTATTGGTCTTAGTTTATCGTCTTTTTTGTAGTTCTCGAAGTTAAAAATCTGATTGAAGTTGGCTGTGCTGCATTTTATGGCTTTGTCGTAGAAGTTTGCATTTAATTTGTGTATAGATTCGGATAGAAACGGAATTTTGAGATCTTTGTGGATGTTTGAATTACTTATGAATTCTACTAAAAAAATTACTGAAAAAATAAATTTTATAATCCATCAGTCTTACCAGAAGTAAAATATAACTGGTACTAATAAGTCATAAAAATGCGAATTTACACAATGAACGAATAAAAACCTTTTTGTTTTTAGAATTAAAAGGTGAAGAGCGCTATTTGAAGATTAAGAGCTGAATTTCAGCTTTATTTGCAGTTTTTTTTTTCAAAACAAAATTTTAATTACTTTTATTTATTCTTGTGTTTTGTAGGTTTCACCATCAAAATGAAAATATACTTTTTATTTCCTGGATTTCCCTAAGAAATGGAGTGTGCCCCCACGCTTTTTTGACCGGAATTCTTTTCTCCCTTATATTACTCTCTTTCATTCTTTACCATGCGAGGAATTTTGCCTAATGCCGGTGAAAAATAAATATTTCAGCTTGAAGAAGTTCGGTTTATTTTTGCGTTGAGTCAGACATTTCCAGAAATCTCGGTCTGGGGTAAACAACTACTAGGAAGGAAGATAACTGCATTTGAGACTAAAAATGTTTATTTGCTTTACCAGGAAGAAAATGCCCAATTATTTTACACACACGTACGATTTCTTTGTATTAGAGTTTTGAAGCATGGTGGTTTTTAGTATATATATTTATATATTCAGGCCGAAAGAACAATAAAAGAAGACATTTTTTTTGTAAGGGTCTACTGTTTAAAAAACCCGAATTCCGTTTCTTAAAATATTATTAAAAGTAGAATTTAGTTAGGTATTTTATTTTTAGAAAATATAAGATTGAAAATTCAATAGAAGATTAATCTAATAGAAGATTAAGGTTGAAAATTCAAGGGAAGATTGTGTAAGTTTAACCCAATAGCAAATTAAGATCGAAAGTTCAATAGAAGCTTAAGATTGAAAGTTCAATGGAAGCTTAAGATAAGAAAGTTCAATAAAAGATTAAGATTGAAAGTTTAATAAACTTTGGAGTTACTATTATTATTTCACAATCAAGGAATTTTTGTTTCATTAAAATTGTAAATCATGTGTTTGTAGATAAGCACATTTTCGAACATAAATTTTAAAGATTGAAAAATAATTTAGAATTTTCTAGACAGAATATATAGAGCAAATATTTTTGTTAAGAAATAAAAGATAACAAATATTTGATAGCAAATATTTAGAACTAACAATAAGGCAACGGGATTAAAATAATGATTTATATCCTTTCCTTTACAAGTTTTCTGTCTTGTAAATATTGTTCAAAAACTGTAATAAAACCTCATTGGAATAATGTAATTATTTAAATTGAATAATTAATTTTATTTATTAAAGAATGATCCAAACTTGAAATATTTTTCAATTATTTCCAGATAAAATAGTTTTATTTGCATCGTATGTTTTTTTTAATTATTAATTCAATTTATTGCAAAGCTGATCAAAATCAAGGATTTTCATTAAATTCAAAGGTATTTCATCAATATTTTATTTTGCTATTGTCCAATAATAATATTGAATTTCAAATTACTACTACCTAAGCAATAACGTGAATCTTTATATAAAATGCCAATTAATCAATTGGTCTTTTCAATCATTTTATATCATTAAAATTTAGAATATATATACACTCTATAACAAAAAAATCAACGCACCAAGAAGCAATCATCCGATTGCTTTGAAATTTCGTATGCATGAATGTTTTGAACAGATACGGCTGGAATGATGCCGACTGGGGACGTATAGTCTTTAGAGACGAATCCCGATTCCAACTGTGTCCTGACGATCATCGAAGACGTGTTTGGAGACACACAGGGCTTAGGGGGGATTCTGCCTTCACTATTGCACGCCACACCGGCCCTCAACAAGGCATTATGGTCTTGGGTGTCATTTCCTTTGACAGCCGGACCCCTTTGGTCGTCATTAGAGGTACACTTACTGCACAGCGGTACGTCAACGACATCCTAAGACCTGTTTTGCTACCGTTCCTTTTGCAGCTCCCCGGGCTGGTTTTTCAGCAGGACAATGCCAGACCTTGTCCAATACCAGGACAATGCCAGACTGTCTGCAAGCTTGTCAAACTCTTCCTTGGCCTGCCAGATCACCAGATCTCTCTCCCATCGAGCATGTCTGGGATATGATGGGAAGGCGATTGCATCTGGCACGGAATGTTGATGACCTCGTTCGACAATTGGATCGAATTTGGCAGGAAATACCGCAAGAGACCATCCGGGAGCTTTATCGGTCTATGCCACGCCGTGTGGCAGCTTGTACCCAGGCTAGAGGCGGGTCAACACCTTATTGAACTTGTTACTGTAACTCTGCAATAAATTATTCAATTGTTCTGAAATTTTAATCATTTACTATTCTGTACATTGTTTTCCTATCCACCAATTTTCGTTTCAATCGGACAACTCCTTCTTGGTGTGTCGATTTTTTTGTTATAGAGTGTATTTCTGCTTTATCTGATTATCATTTGGAAAGGTATTTCTCATACCATATATATATAATAGCAAGAACCGAAAAGGTTTTTATCAATGTAAGATTTTAGATTACGAAATATATTCTAACTATTGTGTATAATAAATTTATCTTTTTTATACGATAAACGTTGATAAGCTTGAATTATTATTTCATATTATATATATACGTTTAATTTTATTGTTTCATAAACAACAAACAAGTTTCTTTACGAAATCATTGATTTATTGATAATTTTATTCTGATCGATCAATTAAAAAATGATTTTAAATTACTTTTTTTAAAACAATTAAACTTTACTTATAAAGTAGTGAAGTTCTGAAATTGTTAATTAAATTATTGAACATTTTATCCAATTTTGACTTCATTCTTTTAATGATTTAAAATATATATTATGTCGTGCAATGTTTTTTGAGTAAAATCTCAAGTAAAAAAAATTTAATAATGCAACCACGTGTAATAAAACCCGAACAAAATTTCATTAAATAACTAACTAAATGGACAGAAACTATCGTCTAATTAACACATTGTTAACCGGTAACGAGTAAATTCATCATTGCACTTGCAATGTCAAGTTAACTTGCTCTCGGACAACAACGTTTGGGCAATAAATCGCTCTTTAGAATGTTTCACTTTACTTCCGTATTCAATTACAAAGTAATAGCCAGTGGCATGACTTAATTTCTGTGTAAAATCACTTGTCAACAAAGTGTTAACTTATGATATTAAAATTATTATCTATTTGTCGTAATCTAAATTTCATAATAAATTCCATACAGAATTTAATGTTTCAGTCTTGCACAGCACATTCTGTTTCCCCTAATCGCATTACCTTTATATGATTTTAAAATGGTTCTGTGATGTCCTGTTTGAAATGTTTCTGTAATGCTCCGTTTAAAATGTTCTTGCAATGTTTTACGAGAATTTAAAACTCTAGCAACACATAAAACATTTCGGAGGTGTTTGTTTCCTTTGAAACATCAGAGTTAATTTAAAATGCATCTTTAAGCGCATGATTGGATCTAATAATTTCGGTGTTGCTCGCCATCCAATTGAAAAAATAAATTATACACGAAAATTAATAATTATTAAAATTAAGCCACTAAGTCTTAGTCGTCATGGTTTAGCGCTATCTTGTCGTTGAAAGTATTCACCTGTTGTCATGTAACGAAGGCTGAAGTTCATCTTATCCGGAAGATCACTTGAGCTGTGTGAGTTGTAGGATCTATCTAATTAATTCGATTAATGATTTGCTAACTATAATTAACAATTAACAATTTTAGAGTTTGCTTTAAAATATTTAAAAAATCTATCACCTTTTATTAAAAAAATTAGAATGTAATGTTATAACCAACATTTTATTTTATAAAAGCTTGACAATAAAATGCATTTGTAAATCGGTAATAAAAATACTTTATTTATTAAGGCTATTATAATAATTTTGTTGTGTAATCATATATCTCTCTAATAATATAACTTATGGTCTTCCAGCTTAATCAAAGCAGAACACTGCAGATAAAATACTTTGTATACTCCTTCTGTTGTCATAAAAATCGGCAGTTTTCAATGTATTTTATATCATCGTTTTAATTTAGTATTTAAATTCTTTGAAAATAAAACTATGAACCTGATATGCTAAATTTTTATGATTAATTTGTGTTTCAAAACTCTTTCTAGAAAAAGAGTTGCGCTCTTTTATTTTTATAACAAAGAAATACGAAAAGAAAAAAAGTATAAAGATAAAAAAAGCAAAAATCTTTTAAAATAAAGCTTTTTTTATAATATTTAAAGTTACTGCACCCGAACAACTATTTGTGCCCAATTAGTTAACAATCGTCATCTGAAGTGTTTCAAGACAAAATATATTACATAAATAATAAATTAAGATTTTATGCTCAAAAATGTTTTCTTGAAAACGTCGCTATTCAAATACATGGGGATTTTTTAAGAAAACGTTTTGTCCATGTTTTTTCATCATCTTATTCCCAATGGAGAGTTTTTGTCTTCTAAGTTTATTTTCTAGCTTCAAGGAAAGTTTATTTTTCCTAGTTTTAGTATAAAATTAGTTTCACTTATTTATTTTTATATCTTTTTAGGGTTCTTTCGGCATTGTTAAACTGGCATATAATGAAGAAGACAATTCACATTACGTAAGTAAAAATATATATTTTTTTAATTCGATACTCGATTTACATAAATTGTAGTGCGTTCATTACTTTATTCAGACTAGATTTCTTTTCGAAAAATGATTAATTTTAATTTAGTTTTATATCATTTTGGTTTAAAGAAATTACTTCATTTGAAAAAAATTAGCATTTCCTCGCGAAGAGTAATAACAAACAACACGTTTAATTAGTATTAACAATACTATGACTTAGAATAGTATTATTAACGAAATTTGATTATTACCATACACTCCAAACAGACGTTAAATTAAACTTGAAATTCTAAGTTTTAGTTTTCTAATTATGGGTTTAGCTGAAAAAATCTGGCTTTCCTATATTTAACCGAAGTCATGGGTTGGTGAAAAAGTGAGAGAGTATGTACGACTATAGTTTGTTTAAAATAAGAACTCCTCCAGACATTCGTCTCGACCTGTGGCGGTGACTATGGTAACGATGTATGACTGTTTCAAGTAGGGGTGCGAGGTTACTGTTTTGGAGTGGTTTCGGCTCTGGTCGGCGAGAGAATAGGGATTCTCTTTCCTAGAGTGAAGTTACCCTCCCTAAAATGTTTCCTTAGCGCCAGACGTCCTCAGACTTTGTGGCGGGAGGAGTTCTTAGCTTAGACAAACTATAGTGAGTACTGGGTAAGCAAATAAGTTTCTGCCGTCTTCTTAAATGCTTTTAAAAGTTTTAAGTGTAAGAGTGTTCCATCTTTCTAACAGCTCTTTTGTCGTTTGACGCACATTTTCTTGCGAAAATTTAGTTTAATCATTCTTCATCGAACTCAACTGGACGGCCAGAACGATGTTTATCTTTCTGGTAAAAAATCTCATTTGAAAATTTGGCATGCCAGTTGTGAGCGATTCTTACAGCTATAACACCTTTTCCATACACATATGATACGAGCAGCTTTTACTAGCTTAGAACCTTGATTTAACGCAAAAGAAAGGAGGCGTCGAAAATGCTCATTTTTCTCAACTTGTCATTCCATTTTAATCAGTGGTCCACAGCCTTCGGGCTGTCAATCAGTACCGGTGCGTGGATTAAATGGTGCCGGATTACCCAACGAACATTAAATTACTTCCCTTTTATCCACTGTGGTGTATTTTTCTCGGGCTTGTGTGATTTTCCATGGACAAGAGGAATGGATGCGAGAAAAAAAAACGAGAATATGAAGGACAGACGAAATTTATGATAGTTGCCATACCAATAAAGGAGAATGCAGAGTATGCATTATATTTAGTGGCTAACCATATTGTAAAGGTTAAAAAGCTGAGCTTCTAGGCTGCTGCTGAAAAAATAGCACTATGACTGAAAGCATTGAAAAAATTGCCAATGACATTGAGACACAATTGAAGAGAATTAATACATCACCACGGTATGCACTCCAGGTTGGCGAATGTTGCAAAATATCGAAAACAAAGCAATACTACGTCTTTATGTGCCATGTGTATGATAGATGTGCATGAGGATTTGTTGTGAGCACTTTCTTTTTCAACCAACACCACTGGAGCAGAATTGTTCAAATCATCGTTGTATATCAGAACTACTAAAATCGTCATTTTGTGTCGGCATATGCTCCGACGGAGCTGCTGCCATGACCGGACGACTCTCTGGATTGACTACTCTTATTAAAGAGGTTGCCTCTACGAGTGAATCTACACATTTTCTCAATCACAGGGAAATTCTGGCAAGTAGAAAAATGTCCCTGGAATTTAACGGCGTATTGATTGATGTCGTTGAAGCTATTAACTACATCAAAGCACATGCTCTTAACTCGCACCTGTTTGAGCAGCTTTGTGAGATAAGAAGGTGGGTTCAAAGTACAGATGCCTTCTCTTACCTCACGGTTATCTAGAAGAAAATCACTAATCAGAGTATTTGAATCACCTAAGCCATTGCAAAGATTTATCTCAGACTAGAAAAGTGCTACAGGGGGTGACCACCTGCAGCACTTTTTAGTCACAAGATGTGGCTTAACTTTGTGACATATTCAGTCTGCTTATTAAACTCTATCTGCCCCTTCAGGGGAAAATGACGACTGTTTTTAAGTTCGCAGACAAAGGAGTTGAATTTGAAGCCTTACTGGAGTTGTGGGAACGGTGCGTGAACAAAGACAGTTTAGATATGTTTCAGTCATTAGTGCGTTTTTAAGCGAGTCTGAGCCTGAATATTCATTTTCCCAGTTGATTCACGATCACATGTCTAACCACAAAATACGCATGAACTGTTAATGGATGAATACACAAATGGGCGACCTTTGTGCTAAAATACAAACTAAGGTATGCAACGTTAAAGAGCACGTTAAATGCATTTAATAATATTTTTGTGCTCTTTAACGTTGTTTACCTTAGTTTGTTAATGGATGGATCCGCGGCGCATTTATCAACAAATCAGTCGAATCAAGGATGTCTGCGCTAAAAGAAGATCAACTGCTGGAGATAGTAAATAACGGTGGCCTTAAGACTACGTTAGGGACGACAATTCTGACAGTGTTTTTGATGAAAGTCATTGTGGAAATATCCTGATATTGCCAACACAACACTTAAATCCCTAGTGAATTTTCCCATAACTTATCTATGTGAAACGGGGTTTTCTGCAGTGATATCAACTAAAACAAGACAATGGGGTTAACTGGGCATAAGCAACACACTTCCAGTGTGATTGTCTCCTGCTAACCCTAGATGGAGCCACTTCGTTGAAAAAAATATATGCACAAGGTTCTCATTGATTTAACGTTCTAGTAGTTAAAATGCTGAATCATTTTTACTAATTTTTCGCTGTAACATGTTTTTTGGAAGGTATGTTTAAGTAAAACTAAATTAAAACTATTAAATCAAAGCAGTCTAAAATATAAACAATTAACGTCACCACGTAATTATCTCGTATAACGTCACCACGTAAAATTAAAATCTTGGCTGGTTTCAATGCTCTGTTGTTGGCTGCTGTCCGCCATTGCTTCTCTTGTTAACGTCACGTTGTAATCCAACTGCAGTTGATTTGGACGGCAGTTGTCGTTCAAGCTGAGCGTTCGATGACGTATGCTGTCAANAAGAAACCAGGCCTTGAGCTAACAAACCAGTATTTCGTTGCCGTCAGCCGGACGTTGACGTCCCGCTGACGCTCAGATAAGGCGCTTGTCCTAAGAAACCAGACCTTAAGAAACCAGGCCTTCAGTGGTGATGAAGAGGTTGGGAAGCATTGATTTTATTGATATGAAAACTGACACAGATGTCGGTTGAACAAAAAACTTCATTCGAATAATATAAAACAATATATTAAAAACAAAACATGCGGAATGTTAAAATTAAAAGAAAAACAAAATGTGAGAATTTAATTATTTTCAACTTGTTTATTTTGAAAAGCATTTCAGTAACCAAAAAGTCATTGCCAAATTGATATTAAAAAAAAATTATTTTAAATAGCCATTAACATTTTAAATTTAAGCATTTAATGAATGTTTATTGTAATTCTCAAAATATGTTGACTTATTAATCAAATATGATAAGAAAATAAGTGAATGCTTTTTAAAACTCTTTCGAATCGAAAAATCTGTTATTTAGTTTTTCGTACCAAAGAATTAATTAAAACCAAAAATGCAAAGCTTTTAAGAAACATCAAGCCTTATGAATATTTTAGTGAAGTACAACAGATATTTAAAGCCAAATTTAAATATATTCGGCCACTGTGTTTGAAAAGATTCTTAAAATTTAATGCGATAAGTGGAAACACTTAAATTCTTTTCGGCTTTAAACAAACGATTCAGACAATGTTGCTAAATAAATATTTTTTTCATTAAATTTTATTCGTTGAATATATTGTAATTTGCATAAAACTAAAATAATACTAACTTTTCGAAATGTAAGTATAAAATTGAACAACAGGCATAGATAATAAATGAGGAAACATTTTATGCGCACTATATTTAAAAATTTATTCAAGTGGTAGCTAAAAATGTATTTAAAATAATACTTTGTTTAAGTAATATTGGGAAGGCTCTCTCATTTATGTGAACCATTTCGCTCATTTAGTATTAATTAAATGTCATTGTTTTTAATTATTCCGATTAGTAATTATTTTTCTTACCTAATTTATTTTGCGTTTTAAATAACGATAAAGAATTTAAACAGAATTTATTGTATTGCTTTTGATGAATCACTGATTTAATTACCTTTGATAAAAAAACACAAATTTCAAACTATCATTAACTTCGGAACTGATGGAAATATTCAGAAGTTATACTAAGAAAACAAACTTGCCTTTTGAGAGTATCAGATCACATTTTAGACAATAAAACTACCTTAATCGCTAACTATCATTAACATCAACTTTAGAAATAATAAAATATCCAGAAGTTATATAAGGAAGCAAAAAAATACTCTCTTTTTGAGAGAGTTGTATCACTTTTTAGCTGACAAAACTATATTAATCGCTAACTTTGGAGCTATTATAATATCCAAAAGTTATATAAAGAAACAAAACTCGCCTTTTGTGAGTGTTGGATCACTTTTTAGCAGATTAAAACTGAAGCATAAGTCTATTATTAGGTAATCAGACTGTGAATAAAGTTGTTTCACATCAAATTGAAGTCCTTTTTTTCAAAAAAAGAATTTTAAATTTTTTGGATTATTTTTGGGTTATAGTACAGCTTTGTCAACTATGGTTTGCAGCATTTAACCAAACTTGCAAATTATAAATTAAAGTTTATTGCTTTAATTTTACTTGATTTTAGTTACAATTCGCTTCTTTATTATTATTATAAATAATCAAATCGTTCCACTAAATTACCCTTGTTAGATTACTAGACATGAAAATTAACTACAATTAAACCAATTAAAATTTCCTATTTTGAACATTATAGTTCAACCGATAATTTAATGAAATATTTCTCCGAAGAGCCTTAAGCACTGTCAATATTCTGTCACCATGGGAACGTCCCATCTCACCTGATGCATCTTCTTCATACGTATGTACTCTTTCTATCA